TTGGGCAGGAGGCTTGCTGGCAGAGTGGGGTGCACCTATCGGCAGAGCTCAAAGTGCTTTGTCCCACTTGCCCGAGCAGGGCAGAGGCCAGGGGCCAGACAGGCGTGGCTGAGGGCACAGCAGAGGGGAGGCTGTCCTGATGAACTGTGTCCTGAGAGCGTTCCTGAACCCGAGTTGCAGCCTGTCACTTCCCAATCAACCCCATAATCGTGAGTACTGTCTGTGAGTCTGTGGGAGGGACGGCTGGTGTCAGGTAAAGGCTGGAAGGCGGCAGGTCTGGCCTCACAGGAATCAGCCTTGGGCTGCTGCTGGTGACTCTGCTTCCCCGTGAGGCGCAGGAGGTCAGAGGATGCTGCCCCCGCACCGGTTTTCAGCTCCATGCCACCTCCTCGGCAAGCCTTCCCAGATTCCCAACGCAAGGAGTGTTGCGCTCTCACTTTCTGTGTGTGTACGTCCAGGCGCACATGCACACGTATGGCGGGACAGAGTGCACACATGCATGCTGGTGACGGAGCCCTGGTGTTGATGGGAATCAACGACCTGGTGGCGCGTACTGCCCCCCTGCCCACAGTTTTTCCCAACCCCAGGGCTGACCCTGAGAAAGGGGCGTCATCGGCAACCTGGCCGCCCAGCCCTGGAGACCTCCCTGCCAGGGCCTAGGGACAGAGGGAGCACCCTGTGAATGAAAGTGGGCGGCAGGACAGGCACCTGAGAGGCACTCATCCCAGAACCTACTGAGGCCCTCGGGAGGAGCACCCCGACCACGCCGTCCACTCCCCAGACCCTCACCAGGAGACCGCCTAATCTGCTTACCGTAAAGGAGGAGCAGGGAAAGAGGCTTCCTCTCCACTGGAAAACTGGGACCCATGGAAATCACAGGCCAACGTGAGACCACTCAGCCGAGGAGAACTGACTGACGCTCCACTGGACGCGTGTGGCCACGCCGACCCTAGTGCGCACACTCACCGACCCGTTCTCACGGCCAGAGTGCAATCGGGAGCAGCTCTACCCCACTAAGCATCACGCCCCAAGCTCTGTGGCCGGCCAGGGCTACCCCTGCACAGAGCCCCAAACTGCTCTGAGGGCAAGAACATGTCTGCCTCCCCCATGCACACACTCAGACACACATGCATACACACATGCACTCACACAGTCACGCGTATACACACACACGGATGCACTCACAGCTTTGCATACACACACATACACATGCATGCTCAGATATATACACCCACATGCATACAAATATGCACACATATGCAGTCAGATGCACACATATGCAGATGTACTCAAGTACACATTCACATGCATGCATACCCACATACATTCATACGTGTGTACAGACATGCACACGTGCGTGCATATTCATACATGCACACTCATACACCCACACTCAGGTGCACACAGACACATTCATATGCATGTACACACAGGCATTCATACACACGTTCACACCATTTACACTCGTATACACACATCTGTTCACACATACGTGTACATGCATGTACAAACACACACCATTCATACACACATGCATACTCACACACTAACACACTAATGCCCACTTACACTCACACTCTTAACACTCACACCTTCACCATTACACAAATGTGCACCAACACCCACATACACACACAACCACAAACTTACTACCATGCACACATGCACACTACCACCATGTGCACTGACGGACACTCCATCACAAGCCTCGCCTGCTCGCCACCGAAGTCTCTGAGAGGCCATCTCTGGACACTGAGTTGCAGGAGGGAGGGGCCTGGTGTCAGGTCAGAATGAGGGGTGAGAACTTCTGGAAGGGGCTTGCTTCTCTGGCAAGTCCTAGGAACACTGAGCCCTCCACCCTGCTTCTCTCGAGGACACCTGGACCCAGAGACAAGAAACCACTAACCAGGGACAAAGGCTGGACACAGCTGCTGGTCAGAGCCCCATGGTCATGGGACTGGTTAGCTCGGAGAGGTGGCCCAGTCCCTGGTCGGCCTCAAGACTCGCCCGTCTGCCTGCCCGCCCGCCCGCCCGCCCATGTGTGAAGCTGCCCACCGAGCAGCAGGAAATGCCAGCCCTGAGCACAGCCTCGCCTGGCGACCCCACGGCTCCTGGGGAGCAGGGCCCACAGGGAACGCGACGCCAGCCCAGCCGGGACCCACAGCTGCCACACTCCCGACCCTCCAGAGGCCCACCCCAGCCCCGTGCTGCTCAGCCACCAGCTACTGGGCAGGGCAGACGACCCCAGACTGACCAGCTGGGGGAGGGGCGTGAGCCAGAGGAGGGCGGTCCCCGCCCCGCCCCCAGGTCAGCACTGTTACCTGAGCACTCGGCCCACAGCCTGGAGGACCGTTTTGCAGCTGAGCCCCGTTTTGGGGGGCGGGCTGTGCAGAGCTCGGTCTGCAGGCAGAGCCCCGTGGTCACCCAGCATGGTCCACGGGGACAGGGTGAAAACGGGCGCCACGGGGCAGTGGCCGCTGGCCACTCTCGCTCCCGTCCCCGCGCAGCAGGCCCCTCTCCTGCAGGGCTGACAAGTGGCCCTTCTGGACGGGGCTCCAGAGACATCTGGGCCTGCCCCTCCCTCTGCCCCCAGCCAATGAGCACGGCAGAGGGAAGGGCTCTGGCTGGAGGGGCAGGCAGCTGCTCCTTCCATAGCCGGGCAGGTCCGCTGAAACAGGGGCGCGTCCGAGCCAGCCTGGCCCCTGAGCTCCAGGTGGGAGGTCCGCCGGCAGGGAGGCCAGAGCCGCCCCGAAGCCCTCCTGGGGCGCGGCCCCTAAGGCAGGCGCCAGCGAGGATGTGCAGGCTGGGGACAGCGGCCTGGCTTGGGCGCTGCAGGGCAGAGCCCCAGGCTGGGCCGTGGAGCTGGGAGGCCTGTGAAAGGGACATGCTGGCGGATCTCTGACGCTGAGAAGATGGCCCTGCCAGCTCGAGACAGAGGCCATGCCCACGCAGGGGACAGCGGATGGCAGCCCCGACGGAGGGGAACTGGCCACTTGGCTCAGCTGCGCTCCCAGAGTTCACGTCACAGCCGTGGAAACCCCGGCCGAGGCACAGTGAAGCCATGAGACCCTAGAACACCGGCCTAGGATGCCTGCTCGTGAGGGCGGCAAGTGGCCTTCCCCGTGGCTGAGCATACTGGCAGAAGGCACCAAGCGGTTAGGACGGTGCACCCGGTCCACCTGCTTTTGACCTCACTGTCTGCAAGAGCTGCCGATTTGGGCTGGGGCTCCCCCCCACGTAAGAGGCTGCCCGTCACCACCAGGCACTGTTCCAGAGCCAGATGCCCACATAGCCCATTACGGGAGTGTGCCCCCTGCCCTCTGTTGGTGCCGCAGGTGCCAGGATCCAGGAGAAGGTGGCACGGCAGGTGCAGACTGAGCACTGGGGAGCAGAGAGGGCAGGGAGGGGGCAGCAAACACGGCACGTGGGTACCAGGCAGGCACATGTGCGCAGGCACACACTCAGAGCAAGCAGTCACGGAAGAGGGGTGACGGGCTCCCCAAGACACCTTCCCATCCCCCATGACAGTGCGTGTGCCCCGGAGAGGGCCAGGGCCCATCTGGGCTCCAAAAGGGCTCTGGACCCAGACAAGACGCAAACCACTGATCAGAGGTAGTGCCTCCGTCCTGGGGGCAGGGGTCACCTCTGGCCCCCTTGTATATGAGTGCCCAGGTCAGGCCACCATGATGCTCAGCAGAGGGTTGGGCCCTGGTGCATATGTGAGTAACTGCCAGTGGGCAGAGATGGGTGCAGGGGGATGGTCGCTAAGCAGGGGAGGGCTGGGCCCCAGCACCTCTGACCACAGCGCGGCACCTTGCCCAGCCAAGCTTGGCCACCCCACCAGACAGGTACAAGCGGGATGCAGGCAGGGAGCCCAGGGGAGACACGTGGGCATAGGCAGGGCCGTGGAGCACACAGAGCCACTGTCTAACATGGGACCCCTTGTCCCGTCTGTGCCGGCATGCCAAGGAACAGGCAAGTGACAAGGTCTCTTTGGTCACCACACCACGGACAGGGCATGGTTTCTCACACTGAAGAAGCTCCAGCATCTAGAGTCCAGTGCCCAGCCACCAAGCACTATGCTTAGAACACTGTCTGCTGCTGAAACAGCCACCGTGAGCCCTGCCCGAGGCCCAGAGCCCAGAGCCCACCCTGCATACCCATCACCCTTAGCTGTCCCATCTCCTCAGGCACCTCTGGGCTGGGCTGCTTACATGGTCCCTGTTTCTGACCACCGTGACAGCTCTGAGGAGGGGTCAGGGAGTCTGTCGACAACAGCTGAGCTGCGGCTGGTCTGAGTCTTTTCTGGTGGTTCAGCCGGGGTGATGAGACCCCAAAGGTCCAGGGCCATTCTGACCACATCACAGGAAGGACACTTGCTATCAACGTGGCAGCACTGTTGATGCTGACCTTGGTCACCTGGCCAAGGGAGGGTTTGTCAGCTTCGTCTTGGGAACGAAGTCTGTGCAGCCCCAACTCCAAGAGCAGGGAGTTAGGGGCATGTTTATTTTGTACTTTGGGGATAACCCAGTTCTGCCTTATTAATTTTGTTGGTCAAGGGGTCCCGGCTCTGGCCACTGGGGCTCCTTCAGTTAGCTCTGCTCTGTGTCCCTTTGAAATACCCCATCACACTACGGCTTATTTGGGGTGTGCTTATTTATGTCCGTGTATGTCTGTCTGTCTGCCTTCTCTTCCTGATGTTCGGACCCCACAAGGTGTTCCAGGCTTGTCTTGTATATTTCCTGCCCCAGTCTAGCCCAGCCATGTCTCCAGGCAGCTCTGGCTTCTCTACTGGGGAACAGGGTACAGATCGGAATGTGGGCGCAGGGCGTGCCCACAGCTTCCAGGGCAAGGAGATGATATGTACACTAGCCCTTTTACATATGCACATGTAGAAACTCATGCATGACCATCTCTACTGATGCCAAGCTAGACACAAGCTCCCACTGTGCCTTTGACCCTGACCCCACTGCCAGGCAGATGGTCTCCTCCTCCACCCTATCTGTACACTCCCACACCAGCAGCAGAAGCGTGGCGGACCACGGGGCTTCCAGTCACTTTGCGAAGACAACAGAAGAGAGGGCTCTGAGCTGTGAGGCCACCAGCCGATCCCCGCCAGCAGGCCTGCAGAGGGCACAGGGACCCTCGCCTTGTGTTAGAGAAAGCCGCAGAGTGGGGCCTCGGAAGGCATTGCTACAAGAGGAGAGAGAGAATGCACAATGGCTGAGGCACTCCAGAGGGCCACGTGCAAAACAGGCAGAAGTGAACCCGACAGAGAAGAGCTCACCCTCCTCAGGCACGTCAGACAAGCTCTGTAGGACGGAGGCACAAGGACACACAGGGTCAGACGTGACGATGGGTAAACCTTGGCTGAATGAGGTCTGAACTCGAAGAAGCACCAGAACAAGCGAGGAGAAGCAGGCCTTGGAAAGGAGGGGCTTCAGGAAAATGGAAGACTTCCACTTGCTCTCATGACAGGAAGCTGCTACAGGACCGCCACCAACAGCTACCAGACGGGATCAAAGGCTCGAGCACCTGCCCTCAGACGCCGGGCGGCATCAACACAGGCTGTGGCCCTAAGAGCCCCGCAGCCTCCTAAGTGGAGGAGGCCAAGTACTGGGCTACAGAAACGTGCGGGGCAGGGTGCCAGGTGCGGTTCTCTGGAGAAACAAAGCCAGTGAAGCTCATATATGTGTACAGAGAGAAGGTCATGTCAAGGACAGGCTCACACAGCTGCAGAAGCCAGCAAGTTCCAAGTCCAAGGCCAGATGGTAGGCTGGAGGCTTCTCCTGACTCATGCAGTTGCCGGCCGTAGAGGCTGATGACTCCCAAGATTGACAGGCAGTACGGTAGGTTGCTGGCCCAAGTCCCAAGAACTGGAGGTCAGGTGACAATGAGCCAGGTGCAGCAACCAACGTGAGCAAAACAGCCAGCGAGCTTTGCCAGAACATCCATGTATGTTGGATGCAGGCCACTCACTGAGGAAACTCCCCTTACAAATGATTGGCTGATCATATCATGGAAGTGATAACATTTTATCACAAATAGAAGACAGTTACATCATTACATGATCGCCACACCACTGAGAATCATGGTCCAGTCAAGGTGACACACAGCCTGAACCATCATGGTACCCAAAGGATGGAGCTGCACAGAGGCAGAGGTCCAGAAACACAGCAGGGGTTCACTTACACCAACCACTAAGCTGGGCATGTGCAGACTGAAGTTCCACACAACCTGGCACAAAGGAGCTGTGAGCTGAAGGGAAATTCTAGAGGACACATAAGACAAGAGGGCACAGGGACTCCAACTGTCTGAGGAGAGACATTGCACTCAGGAAGAATCCACAAAAGCCGGGCTGTGAGGGTAGGGCTACCGTGGCCCCAGGGGAAGGACTTCCTGGACCTGCCCTGTTCTGGTTCCTTCGTGCTGCTCTGACAGGAATAGACCACCAGTAGGATGGCCTTAACAAACAGGAGTTGGTTCTCTAACAGTCTAGAGGCTTTAAGTCCAAGTTCCAGGTGCCAGGCTCTAGGGGCTGGGTGAAAGCCCCTCAGTCCTGGGCTTCAGCTCTGCCTCCTGCTCCCGGCCCACTGGAGCTGGAGGCTTTTCTTCACTCAGCTGCTGGCTGCTGAGACTGACAAATCCAAGGTTGACAAGTACAAAGGCACAGTCTGAATGTTAGCAAACAACACTAATTCAAGTCCAGGACAAGTCCCAAGATGGGCAGAGCATGGCAGGCTGCTGAACAACGACTTGGCTACATGCAGGGTTCAAGCGTGCCAAAAGCTGGAGACCTTGCTCAAAGTTGCTTCTTACTGGGAGCAGCCCACACCCCTAAGGCAGCTACTCAGCTGCTCCAGTAGGTCCCACCACGGAGTTGATGACCAGTCTGCCCAGCCACTCAACCAGGCCCAGCCAAGCTGACACACAGCTTAACTACACATGCCCCTATAAAGCATAAACAATCTACAGAACCAAGGCTAAATCAACTGCCCACCAGGAGGGACCAAAATACTTTCTAAAGGGGGACAACATAAGTGAGTTTCCACAACATGGTCTCCATGGGACCTGGCATTAAAAAAAAAAAAAAAGGAAAGGAAAGGACTACGAATGTGAAGCAGCAGGAAAATGTAACTCATGAGCTTCAAAAATTGAGACCAACAGAAATAGACCGAGAGGATAGAGATGCTGGCAGTGACAGCCAGGGACTGTAAACCACCTACTGTGAACGTGTTCAACGGCTGACAGGAAAGGATGGCCCAGGATCAGCAGTGTCGGAAAAGCTGTGCAAACTACAAAGAAGAACCAAGAGGAAACTAATGCACAACACAGCGCCCACAATGAAAGTGCACCCGTCAGGCTTAACAGCAGGTTCAACAACACAGAAGATTTGTGGAAAGCAGCACACAGGGCTCCGAGGGGAAATCT